AGTCGCTTTGAATAAAAGCGTCTGCTAAATGACTAAATGTAAACGTATATTGTTTAAAATTGAAAACACTGAAGAAGTTCAATAGCTGAAAAAAATGTTCAATAGCTTTTTTATTCATCTTTGCTATTGAAATTGGTATCCAGAATGGTTTCATGATGTGTTCAAAAATGCAACTCAACAATGCATTTAATATTTATTCATATAAATATTCCACATTTATGTTTTATTACATATTAAGAAGGTCCTGTTCTGCGGAGGCTATTGCAGAAGAATACACACACATACACCATTATAAAGCTGTGGACAGCACACTGTCATTAAGTTTCATTGAGCTAGCCACATTTGACCGCTCTGAAGAAAAATGGCCTCACAGGACACATAAAAAGATGTAGTATTCCAATCTGAGCCAATACAGACACTTTCTTCTGTTTACAGTGAGTGTCTTGCCTTCTCCCTGACCTCTGCTGTGTGTTAAACCGCTGTCGCGTTAATAGACAGTAACATTGTTATTTTGAGCCCAGGAGACATGAGTTTACCTCTCTTTACCTCACAAGAAACAATAACATGTTTTCAGTCTGTCTCTTTACGCTGGCCTAAGGCCGGTTTGACTTAAGCAACTACACTCTAAAAAATGCTGGGTTAAATATAACCCAGCGCTGGGTTAAAAAGGGACAAACCCAGCTATTGGGTTGTTTTGACCCAGCGGTTGGGTTGTTTTGAACCCAACTGCTGGGTCAAAACAACCCAATAGCTGGGTTTGTCCCTTTTTAACCCAGCATTTTTTAGAGTGTAGCATTGCATCCTAATTCGCATACTTTCCATTCTAAATAGTGTTATAAATTTAATTTAATAAATATGCTAATAGCACTGTTTATACTTTTTCTAATGGATTTTTTAAGTGAGCATCTGTACATGCTATAGAGAGCAAAAGTCAGGTTCTGGAAGTAAAAAGTAAAAATGCAATCAATGGTATATGCTTTTGGTCATCAGTCCACGTTATTTCAACATATATTTTTAAATAATTGTGTTCAACAGTGGAATTCCTGACAGAAAACTACATTACCTATGATTTTAGAGAGATAATTGTGACAAGCAATTTAGGCTCTTTATCGTCGACTACTCCCATGAACCACTACAAACGATGTGATAGTCCGCTTCCCTAAACTCTCAAACTACTTCAATGTAGTTTGAGTATGCTTCAATGTATGCATAATATACATATTTTGCAATAAATGTAAAACATATTGCTTCGTTATTTAATCAACATCCTTAAATCAGTACTGTAGTTTTGTATTTTTCATATTATTTGCAACACATCATGGGATTGTAGTTTTTTCTCTTATTAAAACTGTTACGTCTTGTACCTTTTTTTTGGTCAAATTTCAACTACATCAAATCAAAGTTGTGGTAATGTTGTGATTTACCTCAAAGCTGGTTAATTCATGGCTCTTTAACAAAGACTTCTTGAAAAATCCCTTTGGGAAAAATTTATGGGGAAAATACTTCTGGAACCAGTGCCGCTGAAAAAGTGGCCAGGCACTGGTGTACTCGATTTGAGCTATGATTACCCACAAACCCTTGTGCACCGCACAAGGTGGACAGACTTTTCCACTTAAATAAAAATGGTGATGAATTTGAGGTCAAAAGATGCTTTTCTATATAGTAGTTTGTAAATTTACAAACCTGAAAGTTAAGAAAAATAAGGAATTTCTTAGCTAAATGCTAACATTTCTATACAATTGCAACATTTTGACTGGCTAGATAACAAAAGGGGTGTGTGCTACCAAGACGCAATTTAGCACAATACTGGTGTATTATCATACTATGCATCCAAAAGAAAATAAATTTCCACCAATAAGAAAATCATGATGAGCAAATTATGCCAAGACACATAAGTAATTACTTCACAAGTGTTAAAAAAGTGCATTCTATGTAGTATGAATGTGTGTAGCATGTACTTTTCCCATCAACCAGTCAAGTACATACTTTGTAGGAAAGTTTAGAAGCAGCATACATTCAGATATCAAATTATACATCTTACTCTATGGGGGCCCCCTACAGGCCTTCAGCTGAAAGTGTGCAGAATCTTCTATTGTCATGTAAATCAGTGTCAGTGAAGGATAACAGGACAGCAGCCGGATTAACTCTCTTTGTGCTGGGTACAAAAGCTGGCAGCAGATGGCCGAGTGTGATCGGTGTGCTGGACTCGTATCAAAAAGTTTCTGTCTGAATATACATTCATAAACTCGTCCCTCACAGATGGCATGATAGCGGACCCCAGCTCTGTCTGGTGTCATGGTGTGAAAGACATTTTTTCATTTTCTATTCATTTAAAGCAAAGATGTTAAAGGGTTAATTCACGCAAAAATTAAAATTCTAGCTGCGTCCCAAATGACACACTATACACTATGCACTGTGTACTTATGCACTATGTACTCAACCATGTAGTGTATGAATTACATGAGGTTATTTTGTTGTTCATAATTGGAGTCTGATAGCCCCTCCCCCTTCGCAGCGTAATTAAAGCTGCGACAGTTGAGTGCATGAAGTGTCCAACATTCCACACTTCGTTTTTTCGGTTAAGTGCATCATCCGGGTATTTAAAGTGCACTTTTTCTTTTTGGAATTTTCACTTTTACTTGCACTATTTATACTACAAAACATCAGAGAATAGTGCATAAGTGCGCGATTTAGGACACATCTTCTGACATCTTTACAGTTGTTCCAAACTAATGTCTTTCTTCAAATTGTTTTTAATATCTTTATATGATGAACTGCTTTAATTTAGGCTTTTAATCACATTTAAACATTGCCCAGTGCACAAACATGGATTTCATGAAATATTTATGTTTGTTATATTTATTTTAGCCCTACAGAATTAAACCAGTCCTTTGTTCTTACAATGAAAACCTAGATCATTTATCTCCTGAATATGTTGCCAACTTCATTATATTGTAAGCAAAATGTTTTATTAAAAAACAAAACAATGTGCAAGTCCCAATTGTTTTTTCAATTATTTTCGTATTGAATTTCATCCCACAGGCTTACACATGTAAAAATGCCAGATTTTTGAAGCGTTTATTTAAAGATGTGATTTAAAACTTCTATTTCCGTATGTATATTTATATATTCATTATACTTTATTTTTATGTTGTCACTGTGGCATATTTGAATTATGTCTTTGTTGTTCTTGTATGCACTTACTGTATATTCTGCATAAAAAAGAGATTTGTTTTCGTGCATCAAGCATGTTTGAGCTTCCATATTTGATAAGTAAATGATGACAGATTTTTTTATTTAGTGAACTATCATTTTAAGTTGTCTCTCTTGTTGTCTTTTAGAAAGCAGAAACGTCTAAAACCAAAATTAGTTCTCAAATGTTATAATGGGTTTAGAAACTGACTCTGTTCAGAAAAGTGAAGTAAATTCTGAGAAAATGACTTCTACGCAACTGGTGTCAAAGTGATTTTTAGTGGATGAAGTCAGAAGTGTCCTTGAATAATAACCATCACTGTAAAAAAAATTCTGTACAATTTACGGTAAAAAACCGGCAGCTGTGGTTGCCGGAATTTTACTGTAAAAACTACAGTAGCAATGTTTTAGCTTTTACGGTTTTAACTTAAATTTACAGTAAAATACCGTAATTTCATTAACTGATATAATGTTAATATATAAACCTACTGAAGTACTGAAATCTGTTTTGTACCTTTGTAACACACTGATAACCACCAAATGCAGGTGGTGATGAGAAAGTCACATGATGAACCAAAGCCCATCACAAGCAGCTTTTAAATAATAACATATATAGAAGGTGCACAGTGTCAATCACAAAAACACTAAACACCATCATGGTAACACACATGAAACTGAAATCATGCAATAAACATTCATTTAACAACATTAGGTGTAACACACAACCCTAATATACAATACCGATAAAAAAAAAACTAAGAAGAAACGTAGTAATTTCAACAAAAAAACCATCAAATTTCAAATGTAACGCAGGGAATTCTGGGAATGTCAGTTTACGGTTATTCACTGTAAATTATACGGTCTTTTTCACTTACAAAAACAGTATACTACCGTAAAATTAATGTCCAGTACATGTAATGTCCAATACAGTTTTTCACCGTATATAGTAGGGGAATTTACCGTTAACCATTTAACAGGTTTTTACTGTAGCATTTTTACAGTCTTTTACCATTAAATTCCCGGTATAATCATATTCACAATGAGAATATTCCACCAAGTTTGACAACCAGAAAGTGCTTAAATGGTTAAATTCTCAAATACACCCTAACAGACAAAATTTTGAAGGAAAATATTAAATCGCCATTTTTATTTCCTTTGGCACACCTTCAGCATGAATTACTCCAAAAATATCAAGTAAACATTTATACAATTAAATCAGACTTTTATACAAAAATGTACAACACCAAAGACATTCATTTTCAATTGTAAAATGCTAAATATGTATTGTAAAATGCTAAATATGTACATCTAAAAGGGGCCGTCGCGTTAAAAACAGGTAAACAAGATGCCACTCCTAAAAACATCAAATACAAACAAGTTTAAGAACAGAGGAGAGAACTGAGCTCAGATGTGTGTGTATAGTGAGTGTGAAATGGAGTGATTGGTAACAAATACAAGACATGTACTGTACATGCAGGAGTGTGCTTGTCCTGTGTGCAATCCACATCATGTATAGACTGCATTAAAAAAAAAAAAAAAAAAAAATCAAACTAGACAATACAGTGTCGTGATTCATATTCCCTTTAAACTCACCATTTCATTCAACCGTTTGAGTAAAGTTCACAGAACAGTATAAGCTGCATAAAAAAAAAAAAAAAAAAAAATCAAACTAGACAATACAGTGTCGTGATTCATATTCCCTTTAAACTCACCATTTCATTCAACCGTTTGAGTAAAGTTCACAGAACATCTCCAGACATTATCCTCCCCCACTTTTCTTTATCAAAACACTTAATGATATGAACATATGACAAGAAATACATCTGTTATTTATTCATTTGTTACAGTTATTCTGAACTACAAAGGCAAAATGCAGTAACTACATGTTTCAGAAATGACCGAGCTAGGCTCTCCTGTGTCTGATTCAGAGAAAACTGATATCAAATGAATCCAAATTGAGGTCATTTTTCTCCATGATGCAGTTACTGCGTTCTGCAGGCTAGTATGAGTTTGAAGGGTTTCAGCGAAGCTTCATTTGAGTCCTGGAAACCCCGCTCTGTTTGTGTTCCTGTGGTCGTCTTCACACAGCACCCATCTGTTTTAGTTTGTAGATGTCTGTAATCGTCCTCTGCTCTTCACAGGCTGGTCTCGGTGTACACAGGACCTGGGCTGAAGAGCGACTGACGCCGAGGCTGAGTCTGAACCAGAGCTTCCTGGGCTTGTGGCTCCACAGCTCTCTCGTGTTTCTCTCCGATCTCCTGCAGCAGGAGCACATTAGCATCTCGCCACTGTCTGTATTTACAAGCGCTCAGAGACGGTTCACGCAAGACCTGCTCTATGGCCTGCAGATCGGCCTCCTTCGCCTGAAACAAGACGGACACAGAATCAAATGACGGTTTCTTCTGAAACTATGAATATAACCGTTCAAGTGAAGCTGCTATGATTTTGTTTGATCAGTAGTGCCATCTAGTGTCTGTAGACTTCAAATACTCTATCTTAAGGGAATTCTTGGTTCAATCAACAGAGTTTGTGGCATTGTCAATTGCGGAGTCTATGATTTTAAAATGCTTTTAATTAAATTATGCTCACCAAGGCTGAATTTGATCAAAGAACAGTAAAAACGGTAATATTGTGAACAATTTGAAATAACTTCGCTATTTGAATATATTTTCAGCAATTTTCAGCATCATTACTCCAGTGTCACATGGTCCTTCATTTTAATATACTGAATTGTTATTGGTGCTCAGTTATTTAATAAGGGTTCTTAATATTATCAATGTTAAAAATGGTTTTAGCTGCTTAATATTTGATGGAAACTTAAAAAAAAAAAATCATTTTTGATTATTTGAAGAATAGAAAGTTCAAAAGAACAGCATTTATTTGAAACAGAATCTTTTGTAACCGTATGCATTTTACTGTTACTTTTAAATATTAAGCAGCACAACGGTTTTCAACATTGATAATATTTAGAAATGTTTAAAATTCAGCAAACCAGCATATTAGAACTATTATTGAAAGACTAACGTGACATTGAGGACTGGAGTAATGATGTTGAAAACTCAGCTTTGCATTACAAGAATAAAATATATTTTAACAAATGACAATAGAACATTTATTTTAAATTGTAATAATATTAGTGTTTTTACAGTATTTTCATAAATTCAGCCTAGGCAAGTACGTAACTATATACGAAGATACGTAACGTTTCCAAAGTTTTGATACATACATACACACTTTATGATCCCAAAACTTAAATGTTCATCACTAAAGCTATATTTAAGTAATTTTAGAAATTTAAAGTATTTTTCAACAAATACATCTGGAATAAGTGTTGTTATTGTTAATTAAAACAAAAAATTATTAAAACAGTTTTTTTGTTAGTTCAAATTAACTAACTAGTTAGTTAAAATTAAGTTGACAAAGTTTTTACCTTAAATATAAATTAGAAATGCTGCCTTGGCAAGTAACTAAAAATAAAATATGTTCAAACTAAAGCACTAAAATGAAATAAAAGCTTTAAAAAAAATAAAAAAATGGGATAACACCCCAAAAAATCACTACCGAAACTCCACCAAATGTTTCTGTAGTGACAATTCTATGGGATAACACCCCAAAATATCACTACCGAAACTCCACCAAATGTTTCTGTAGTGACAATTCTATGGGATAACACCCCAAAATATCACTACCGAAACTCCACCAAATGTTTCTGTAGTGACAATTCTATGGGATAACACCCCAAAAAATCACTACCGAAACTCCACCAAATGTTTCGGTAGTGACAATTCTATGGGATAACACCCCAAAAAATCACTACCGAAACTCCACCAAATGTTTCTGTAGTGACAATTTAGATACTTTTGAACCTAGCTCAAAGATGCTAATCAGCACATGGTTAGCTAGCCCATTTCTGAACAGTGGTATACATATAAAAATGAAATGTTATGGAATAACTCCCAAAAAAGTGTGCTTAATTGCAGAAAAAAAAGGTATCGGTAGTGACGTTCCTTATAGTTACACACAGACTTTTCTGACTTTTGAACACATTTATCTGAAAATGATGAGACCTATCTACTTACACCTTGTAGCTATGAGAGAGGGACACAGGAATATTTCCTGATCATAAATTTATGGGTTTATTTCAAATTAGTCTCGGCCAATAGACTAAAACATACACTGTTTCGTTAATGACATTACAAAATGTGGGACAACTTTCATAATTTACAAAGAAAATATAAAATATTTTTTTTACTTTAATTTTTAAAAGAATCAAAAAAAGATACTTTTAAAAACAACAATAGAAAAAAAAAATACAAAAAAGTTATTTCAATATTTTCATAAGTTGAAATTTAGGGGTTAGGGTTCGGGACAGCCACCTCCCAATTGAAATTAACAAATAAATTATGATTTTATATATATTAAGCTTACTAATTTTTTTAATATTATTGCGGGTTTCAATAGATAATAGAAGGATCTTAATAAACATCAAAGATCTGAATACTTGCTTTGATGCTTTTTAAATGTGTTTTTTAGTTGTGGGACAGCAGTTTGGACCAATTCTGTAGAATGGCCCATGCACTAAAAATAAATAAATAAATAAAATCAATCACCCTACCACCAAAATTGATTTGAACTGTTATAAATGTAATGTTGTGGCTCTTGCCTGTGATGAGACACCTGTTTTGTTCCTAGCTGGCTTTAGCTCCTGGTTGGGCTTTTGTATGAACATATGCAGGCAGCAGTAAGAAAACAAGTTTATGTTCCTGAATCAAGACAACGGCTTGGAAAACTACATGTTCATCACCCACAATCATGTTACCTCATACCTCCTATCTCAGTCTCTTTGTGCAGAAGTTACCGGGTTTAGAGGCTCAACCGCATTATGTAATCATGACAACAAAGCTGAAAGTTGTAAGTATAACTAAAGTGTTTATTTAAAGTGTATATTTATAGATAAAAATGACACTAGTAAGCATTTATCAGACTAGTCTCATGTCATGTTACATAATTAATGGGCTTTGTAAAGTATTGACACTGGAAGAGAACACAACTTAAGATCTATGTTCAGAAATAATTAAATAATTGCCTCATCCCCAAGTCTCATTCATATATATATATATAGTCTGATGAGTCACAATGCACTGGAGAGATTCTGTCCGATCTAACGCTTCCTCGAACACAAACATCCCCCTCACCTCTGAATTATAAATACCACCTGCCTCCACCTAAACACTCTACATAGTGCAAAGCAGATCATTTGGGTGAGTCAGTGTAGTTTCCCTTAATATCACATCACAGACCACAGATACTATTCTACTTTAAAGCACTAGAGAGGAAGTCAAATATCTTAAACTGTTAGACAAAACTGCACTAACAAGAAGAGGACAAAACTTGCAACAAAATAAATCACACGCTATCCAACTACACATCATGATTGTTTGTGTAGGGTTTACTGTAGTTACAGTGACACGTTTTATGTCAAATGTTCTAGCTCCAAATCAGGCGAAATCTATTAGACTTAGTGCTCAGAACTCAGTTTTATAGTGCATTTGGAAAAGGTTTCCTCCTATTTCTCAACATAATGTTCTGCAATACACTACCAGTCAAAAGTCTTTGAACAGTAACATTTTAATGTTTTTTTAAAGAAGCCTCTTCTGCTCACCAAGCCTGCATTTGATCCAAAATACAGCAAAATGTTTTACTATTTAAAATAACTGCTTTCTATTTGAATACATTTTAAAAATTTATTTCTGTGATCAAAGCT